TCTTCGAAAGTTAGTCTCAGTCTACCTCGACACCTTTTAATATTTACTTTCGCGCTATATATTTTCTTCACTATTCGGTCTTCACTCATTCACTCAACGTGCCCAAACCATCGAAGTATGCCCCTATCAATTTTTGTGATAAGGTCATCTTTCAATCCTGCCATATTGTGAATCTCTTCGTTTCGCTTTCGGTCGGCTATGGTAACGCCGCACATTTTACGAAGAGATCGCATCTCCATTGCATTCAACTTGCTTTTATGCTTCTTCTGGCATACCCAGGTTTCGCTGCCATATAACAAAGTCGGCACCAACACTGCGTTATGTATTGCAAGGCGTGCACTCTTCACTACGCCTTGCCTTTTGACTAACGCTTTCAGGGCACCATTGACTTTGTTCCACACGCCTGTCCACATCTAAATCACATCTTCCATCACGGCTGAAAGCACTCCCCAAGTATACAATTTCATTTACCTGTTCTAGACATTCCTGATTTACCCATATTTCACACTCCCATATTTCGTTCTCTCTTCGTCCTTTTCAAATACCAGAACCTTAGTTTTATTAGCATTCAAACGGAGACCTTTAGTTTCACATTCCTCTTTCATACACGTGACTAATGCCTGCAGTTCTGCTTCTGATGGTGCAATAAGCACTGCATCATCAGCATACAGCAGACAATTAACTTTAATGTCACCCAATTTCACACTCAAACAGCTATTTTTCAGCTTCTGTAAACAGCTGTCGAGATACAGTATGAACAGCCAGGAAGACATGACACAACCCCGTTTTACGCCCGCTTGGACGCTAAACATGGGTGACAGGTCATGCCCTACCCGCACACAGGCTTTACAGTCATAGTAAAGTGACTGCACAGCCCTTAACAATGGACCATCCACACCATATTCCGGCAACAGTTCCCACATTTTCTTCCTTATAACCTTATCAAATGCTTTCTCCAGATCCACAAAAGCACAGAAAATCTTCTGGTTAACACTCTAAAGCTTCTCTGTGATCATGCGGAGAGAAAACATTTGATCCGTGCATCCTCTTCCAGGTCTAAAACCGCATTGTGCCTCCCATAAAAATCTTACCGATTTCTCTTGCATCCTACGTGTCAAAACCTTCGAGTAAACTTTACTTGCTAAACTGGTCAAGCTGACTGCCCGATAGCACCCGCAGTCAAAATGTGAACCTTTACCTTTATATAAAGGCACAATGACCGCGGATCGTCCGGGACACCTCCCGTCCGCCAGCACAAATTGCACAGCAGATGACATCTGTCCCAGACGCGAGGCCCACCGTACTTGACCATTTCAGCAGTAACTCAGTAACCCGCAGCCTTACCTCATTTCAAACTTTGAATCGCACGTTCAATCTCTTTCATGCTGATGACCTCAGTGTCATCGAGGTCCGTGTCTGGCGTGCCAGTCACGGCGTCACCCCCGGATCCTTCACTAAGCTCATGACATGCATACATTTCTCTATAAAATTCACTCCATCGCTGCATGACGTCCGATTTTTCTGAGAGGACGTCATTAGTTCTCGAAAGCACTTTGTTCATTCTTAAGGCTGTCGCACCACTCCGGAACCTTCCAACCTCTTTCCAGAAAAGTTTGGAGTTTTCCTTAAAGTTGTGCGACAACCTTTCGTCCGCTTCTATTCTACACCTTTCACGTACTTCCTCAATCAGTGTTTTCGTATGAACTTTCTACAGCTTATATCTTTCTTTCATCTTCTCTCGCATACGCTTATTATATACGCCAGATTCTCTCACTTCATCATTCCACCATGCATCTCTTCTTTTTTTTCTTTTCATCTTTAAGGTACGAAACCTTAAAAACGGTGGTTTATTGGCAAATAACTTAATTATGTCCTATTTGTGCGTTTTTTACAAGTTATTAAGAAAGACTTCCTATAATTTATAACTTGTATTTAGAAGTATCTGATTAAGTTTATTTTCCTTCATGTTTTATTCTTAAGCAGTTTAGCAGTATTTAAGTAGACGTTACTCAGGCCATTACAGTAGGTACTTCAACTTAGTCCTAAGAGGTGGCTACACATCTGTAGCCTTCTTTGTTTAAACTTGATTGCAGGTACGTGGATACGGCTGCAGTAGCCATTTACCATCAGGTAGAGCTTAAGTTCGTTTGTATAAAAAATGAGCACGCACATGATATTCGAATTATCTAATTTATAAAAGTTTGCGTTATGTTCAACTATGTTCATTTTGTTGCTGATAAAATTTAAATGAAATTTTATTTAATTTGATTTCACTGGGTACATATAACTTGAAAATCAAATCTACTTTCAGTACTTAAATGAAATTGTCATATTATACGTGGTAGAGTCATGCTGTAGCTATATTACTAATATAATTGTAGCATGAATGGGTTGGCTCGACCGAAGAAGGACGACGCTTTTACAGAATACCAGCGTAATTGTTTTTAAACATAAAACATAAAATAGCGGCTTAAGCTGCTGTGTTTTGTATGGTGAGTGTAGAGAACCGGAGACCCTTTTTTACTAAAAAGGAGACATTCCATATTAGCCCCGAACGGAACGGCATCAGCTTTTTGATTCGTAATCGAGGATAGATGTAGATGTCTATGGGCCGCAGCAACCACTTATCATCAGGTGAACTGTGTGCTTGTTTGTCACCTTATCCTATAAAATAGGATATTTAATAAGCTTGCAATCCTGATATATGTATCATTTGTATGCTGATGACAATATCTATAGCAATTGACTCAGTTAATTGGGACCTGCAGTATACATAGAATTGGTCTGAGAGATTGGGCCTTAAATTTAACCCATCCATCATGTTTTAGCCTGATTATAATAGTAGGTAGCCGTCGGGTTATAAAGGCTGGACACAGTCTACCTATCCTACAACTTTACCACCGATTGTTTTTAACGGTTATATTTTAGAACTAAGTAGTACCGTGAAAGATCTTGGACAACACAACGATTCCACTATAACCTAGCAAACTGAAGTGGCGAATGTTTGTTAGAAAGTCACAGGTAATTTGCGTGCTCTCCACCACCTGAAAAACTTTCTCCCGTCCAAGAGCAAAACGATTATCGTCAGATCTTAATTTTTTTCATTTTTTACAATGGTGATGTGTGTTATTTCGACCTTAATGCAAAATTCTTCAACTAATATTGCCGTCTTCTTAACAACCGCATTTGATTCATTTTTAATCTTCGAAAGTATGCTCATATGTCTACTTATCATTCTCAACTTAACTGACTTCTCATTCGTCGGGATGGTCTACGTGCACTCACTTCTCTTTATTTATTCCTGATATCTTCTCATTCCCTATCTGATTTAAATCCTCATTTTCAATATCTCAGCTTCAACCATGATACTTACTTTATATTCAGTACCCCCTTATAGCTCTGACTTTATTCAATCCCCGTTCTTTGTCTAATCTGTTCTCTTTTGGAACGCTATTCCTCCCGAAATCAGGAGTGTCAAAAACCGGTTTTTGTTTAAATTCAAAGTTTGAAATTTCTTGTAAATATAATGGCAGAATCAATTCGGCGTTATTAGTTAAATTTATGTTTAATAATATATTATATTTAATAATATGTTATATTTAATAACATATTATATTTAATAATATATTATATATATGTATATGTGTATATATGTGCATTATGTTAATATGCATTCAGTTATACGTTTGTATGTAGACTTTCTGTACCTACTTAACTTGTAAACTGGTAAATAATGCCTCATGTACTAAGTCCGCCACAACAACAGTTATTAAGCTAAATAAATGAATATATAAAAATATATTTTCAGTCTTTTTTTCTTTCGTTTTCTCAAGACAAATTTTTGTTATAGATATGCCCCTAATAATAACTGCATATTGATATAGACTTTATTTTTGTTCAAAATAAAATAAATCCATTCAAGTGTGTTTGGATAGAACACGCGTAAGATGCAGATTTGGAGATTGTTAATATTTACTTAGATTATATACGACATTTTAGGAGAGTATAATAGCCGAGGAAGAATATCCACTACCCTGACTATCATCCCGTGGGTGTCTTAAAAAGCGACAGAGGGAAACAAGCAAGAAGATAAGTGACAACATCCAAAATAAAAAACTGCGGTTGCCAGCCAGATTGCTAAGCGTGGCAGTTATGGTAAATATCTGCCATGATGTAATCTATTGGGAAGGCCTATGCTCAGCAGTGGACTTTAAAAGACTGTAATGATAATATAAGTACAGTGTTTGTTATAATTTTAATCGAAATACCTATTATTCATACCTATTATTTAGATGTTTAATTGTATACTCGTAGTACATAGTAGTCACTTTTGTAATATTTTTTATCTTAAAATTCAGACCTTTGTCGGAAAAACATACTTAACATTTTTTTTCTTATCTATTTCTTTCAGTAACTAAAAGTTATGATAATGTGATACATTATGATACAGTAATGGAATGAAATTTTATAATTTCATTCTTTACGACAGTAGAACCTTGAAAATAACCATACAATATTGAACTTTTTAAGCTTTATTCAAAATATTTTTTACAACCTTATTGTTTTTCTATGTATTTTCCTGTAACCATTTCAGCTTTACGCCTTAAAATAAAAAAAGATTCTATATGAATTTCAGTTTAATTATATAACCCTACTTAGCAGTATTGAACTTTTTAAGGTTTATTTTAAATATTTTTGCAACCTTATCGTTTTATATATATGTATAAATGACGCTGGTATTTTAACACAGTAAGAATATGCCAAAGTTTTATATATTTTCCAGTAACCATTTAAGCTTTACGCCTTAAAATAAAAAGATTCTAAATGAATTTCAGTTTAATGATATAACCCTACTTTAATATAACATTAATTTAATTAAACCTACTGTGTAAGCGTGACGGTTAAGTTTCTTTCCGTAAAGCTCCAGGCGCGAAAGAGATAGCCATATTAATAATTGAAATTCCATATTGTAACTTGGAACAATATTTCATTTTACTTACCTTGTACATATTATACATTTTGTAGCATCTCTCTTGGTCGTCCATGATAACTTGGGATGAATCCATTTTTATGTATCTATTTGTATCAGTACACTGGTTTGAGTAACGACTGTAATAGGATATTTTTTATGCTGCATTTATTAATTTGTATTAATTTTTTATTTTAAAAGTGTTATATTTATGTATTATATTTCAAAGTATTATTATAAATTTCCTGAATATTCGATTCTTTCCTTAGAGATATAAGAAATAGAATATTGATCAATTAAAATTTTAAGCATTTAATTATTGCATTTCTTAAATGAGGTAAAAATTTTAAAATTCATGCACATTTTCTGGTCACTAATTATACCTATCTAAGTCACTAAGCAACAATGCTATACAACTTTGTATGAAAACTTTCTACTAAGTTTACGTAATTTTAAAAATGTTAACTTATTTACAGTTAAATACGTATAATACTGTTATATTAATTATGACTATCTCAACTCTAAAGTATCCTAAACAAGCAAGTATATGTACTTCAATTTCAAAGTTAAAGGTAAAAGGAAAGAGTTCGAAGTATAAAACGAAATAATAAAAACAAATGGAATTTTTAAACGACGTAAGGTATTCTATTATGGAGCCTTATCAATGGGATAAAGGTACGCGTAAGAAGCGAGGTGTCGCAACTCGTCACCGGGAGTGGGCCACGTGGCCGGCACGCGGGCTTGGCGCGGCGGGATACTTGTGAAGCCGCGAGGGAACGCCGGCCGGAAACCGAGGTGTACCGGGGCTCCTCGAGTACAGAGAAGTGGCGGCCCGCGGCTCGCCGCCACGCGCCCCGCACTCCGCGCCCGGCATACGCCCGTCATGCACTCCGCAGCCTTCGTCTCCACACCACCACTCACCCCGCATACTATATTCGCTTTAATCGCGAATTAAGGTCCCAGTAATGTTTTCCGTGGAGCTTAATTTGATGACATTCATTACGAACGATCAACTTCGAAATAAGAACATTTTTATCGTATATATAACTTTTTCAATACAAACGATTAAAGTCATCACGTGGTCACCACTCTTTCGTAACAGTGGAAATCAAATTGAATGGGGATAAAAGCTATTTAAACATTGTAGACTGTAGAGCGTAGACAAGTATTCTTCCCTACAACCCACTTGACCCGTCGCGTCGGGGTATCTCGGGGTCTCTATTCGTAATGTTTCATTTTCTAACCTTTTCCCTCCATTATATGTTTATAATCAAATTTTATGTAGGTAGTTTTCTTCTCAGATTGCTGCTTTTAAAACCATCTAGAAATTTGATTTTTCTAAATAACAGTAATTAATTTTATGTTTATTATTTATTATATTTTTAACAAAAATTTCTTTCTTTTTCTCAACATAATGGGTTTGTTTAGAAAAGTAATGGATTTGATATATTAAAACATACATAACATGAACTTTTTACGCAAGTAGCTGATACTGAAACGAAGAAATATAATTACCGCACAAATAATATTAGCTGTAAAACAAAAGAGCTGAAAACATGATGCCATGATTGATGTTGAATTATTTATTTTCTATGTAAATTTACGTATTTTAATAGTTTTTAGTATATACAGTGTTATATTACTGTATATCATATAGATGCAGTTAAAATAGTAATCTGCTTGTTATCATGTAATAAGCTAGGTGACAGAACAATTATATATTGATCGATTTATTAAAAATTTTCTAATACGCAAATTATATTGAACGTAAAATTTACGGATTTAATTTTTCTTTCAATAATATGCAATTTGTATTGAAACCAAAAAATTTATATTAAATAAAATTAAATAAATAAAATTATTTGTTATCATAAAAATTCTCCTTGTCATCATGTCATTAAAATATATTCTTTTGCTACTGATAATAATGACATAATTTGATGTAATTATTTTTTTAGATCATACTGTCTGCTTAGTGCTTTACTACTATATTATTCGTGCAAACAGCGAGGTGAGGCTTTTATACGTCTTTATCTTCACATCTTACGAGAGTGAAAACCAAACGCTACACTTAGAGGAAAGCTCGGCTGTAGTGTTAAAAAAAAGAAACCATAGGGCTAAAGTAAAGGAGACATTGAGTATTCTAACAAGAGCATGGCCCTAGTGTATAAACGGCTTTAAAGGAGAACCTAATCAAAACGTATCTATGTTAAATTTCTAAATGCTACCAAGAAATCAAATTTTAATTATTGGGGATTAGTAATAATTTGTTAATGTTACAAAATTGGTTTGAAGTGGAAATTTAATTTAGAATCTGTGCCAGAAAAAGAATGTAGAGTCATTCAGCAGTAGATTTTAGAAGTAATATGTCATTTACCTCCAGCAAGGTACTTGACATAAATAATGACTGTTGTATGTTCATGTTTTTAGCCTAGCTATATGGTTATATACCATTTATTATGTAATCGAATCAAGTAGTTGTGACACTATCATTACTGTTAGCGATGATTAATGGGACAATAAAACGTTGCTTTGCCCAAATGTAATAATAAGTTAATGTATAATTTTAGTTATGTAACACACAGATTCGCATCTTAGCAAATCAACGTTGTTTGATAAATTTAATAATTACTGTCATCACGGTCCTGACTTCTCATTGGTTTATTGTTTTTTTTTCGTGTTTTTACTTTACATGAATTTGGTGTGAGTGTGACTGTAGGATAACAAAGTATAGATGTAAAATATTTCGTATGCTAGCGTCCAAGTCTAAAATCGTTCAAAAGAGCACAAAGATGATATGAACAAAAGATAAGCGATGGCAGGTGTTTCAGTGACTTATTGAACTGGTGCCCCGTAGTATTGTGGTATATGGCGGGGAAGTCGTGTGGGTTGTTTCTATTTGTGGTGACGGAGAAGCGTGGGTGCCGCGTGTACTGGAGTGGCAATGACCTTGACACTAAGCGAGTGGCCTTGGGTAGCACGTGGCGGCTGACACCCGCTGTCTGTTGTCGGAACGCCGCCGCCGCTGCCTTTCCCAGGGGAGCTTAGAGAGGATATACTCTATTCAAATGCTAAAATTTGCAACTATTGTTAAAAATTTACTTTTAAATTAAACGAAGTAATTTCAATGTATTCTAATTTCTAATGTGTGAGATTCTGTTTTATTGTCTTTTAAATACATACAGGAGGTACATCCAATTTTAAAATTTTATTTATTATCTTTTTGTTTGAAGTATACGATACATTAATTTAATTTAAATTTTATTATCAGTCTCAGATAATATATTATATTAAAAGCCATATTTTATATTGTATTAAAATAATAATATGGATTGCGTTTTATAGAACTTTTTCAGGATAGTTGAACTATATTATTGTATGCACATGACATGAATTTATGGTTTAAAGTTTACACGTAGTTACTTATCACACCATGTTTTCAAAGACTCGCATTTTATATTAGACCGATTATCAACCACTTAACATAAACTATGTAAGCAGGTAATATAAGTAAATTGAAAATTCGCAAGGCATGTCCTCCCTATGATATTGTCTGAATGGGTGCGATTCAGAGCGTCGGCGACGTGCGGCAGCGTGTCGAGTGCGGTCGCCGCGGGGCGGCGGAGCAGTAGCCCCCGCCCGATACGTTTACGAGCCGACACTAACTTTAAGTGACCCCGCCCGCACTCGTGCGCCACAGCCGTGTTTATATCCTGCTCAATGAAAACACAATCAGCCTTCTTTTGTCTTTTCAGCTCACTTGACACTAGTTGCTGCTTCTAAGTACCTATGACGCTTAGGTTTTTGATAATATTAGACTTACGGCTACTTATCCGGATGACATTATCACAGATGCATATTATAGTACGTACGTTGATTTACGTGACAAAGATTACATTGTAGTACGGGATGGATTTATAGAGTATAGCCAAACAACCCAATTGCGTTGACCTACGAGTACTAATACGTTTTTAGAGCGTTTTATTAGGTACGAATTACTTTCACTATAGGTTAGATTAGAGGAAACTAACGACACCTGGCACTTTATAATCTGTCAAGCTGGTTAGACTACAAAAGTTTACAAAGGAACATACAAACAAACAGAAATCCATAAAACATAACCCTCCTTTTGATGCAATCGGATTAAAACAATAAGTTAACTAATAATACTAATAATTCGATACTATTCGTGTTCAATGTGTGAGCAATGCACTTTTAATGGGATGAGTAAGATCGCATAGGTCTTTAATTGTGCGGTTCTTGTATCGGCATGGCACGCGTTGAGGTATGGAAGAGATGTCTTCATTGACTTCATTCGAGAATACGGACTTAAACAAGCTTATCACCTGTCAAAGAATGCGTGCGGCGCGCAACCGCTGCGAGCGACGCGCGCCCGCCCCGGGACCGGAATGAATGAAAACCAACTGGCTTTTTATCGCCGCTTTGTTGAGTGTGTGGATTTGCTTGGAAACACCTGTAATTTGCTTGTTTACGCTTGTCAATCACGTTGACCGGAGGCGTTTTAAGGGTAAAGTGTATCAGCTGGTTCGTCACGTTATTGAGAGACGTATCAACCTGAATGTATTTCGTGTTTATACAACGTTGTTAATGTTTATTCATGGGAAACATGGTTACTTTAGTTACAGTAATTTATTGTATAAACATAAAAGTGGTTTATGTATAAAATTAATGTTTATTTTATAAAAACATTTTAGGAAATAAAAAGCGCGCAATTTAAAATGTATACTTCACAGTTATCTCATTGTTTTGAAAACATCGCGCACGCTGGATGGTTAAGGTTTGGCGTAAATGACATAGTTCTTCCGCTGCAGCTAGCATTCAAAATATAATTTTCAGATAGACCTATACAGCATTAAGTCGATGGATTGGGATGGAATGCGGTCTTTTTTGCATCCTACCCATAGGGGCGAGTTTGTTTCTCGCCGGATGATCTCAGCGCTATTGCTGATTCTGTCACTGATGTGTCGGTTCAGGGAATGGAACTATTTATTCCATCATCTGTGGTACTCATCCGAGGCAGAGAGCTGAGGGCATGAGATTTAAAGTTGGCACCGGCTTTAAGGCATCTTTCCCAGTACTCCTACTCCCTAGATCCCTAAAAAATTTTACCGCCCTGATCTCCTTCTTGTTTTCGAAAATAATGGAATCCATTATTTACTGCTCCGTATTGACCGCCAGTAAGGTTTCCATCGAGGTCGCTCACCTGGTGAGCTTCTTGTTTACCAAACACACCGATGGACGCAGGTGGTCGAGTCCAATTCCAATTGGATCACCAGTTGTGAATGTGGTGAATGTTCCGACTCTAAGCCTGTGAATCCTGATGTTCCACAAGGCTGTGTGCAATCGCTTACACTGTTTTTTCTACTTGTCAATGATATGTTACAAACCCGTAACTTAAATTGCATGTAGATGACTGTACTGGCGTTGTCTAAAATCCGGCCACGCTCATATTTATCGGTAATACGTCGTCAAGGGTAGTAGTAAAATCTCGGACTGGGGCAACTAAACCTAGTCGAGTTCAATCCCCAGATGACACAAGTTTGTGCTTTTACCGCTAAAAATAACCCATTTGTCATATTTTTTCTCTTTCAAGATACTCGCCTCGTCGTCTGGAGCGAATTATCGAATGACATTCAGTTCCGCGGGCACTTGTAACGGCAGGCCAAATTGAAATGGGTTTTTATTTCGCGGTAAAAGGCGACTGCTCAGACCTGTCCAACTACAGGCTTATCACCATCGCCTCCTTGTACTCTAAAATAATGGAATCCTTTATAAACTGGCAGCTCGTAAGGTACCTTAAGGAACACGAGCTGATCAGTGATCGCCGATGCGGTTTCTGTCGGGCTCTTGTAATTTTTTATTCTAATTTTCTTCTTCTATATTTCTATTTTTAATCATCTAATTTAC